GTACTTGTCCAGCGGAGGAAGTACGTCAACCGATTGACTGGCATCATGAACCGCGGTCGTGAATTTTCGCCAGTCAATGTTTTTCGTAAGATCGTACGCGATGTCGACTGAGCGAGTAGCTCAATCGGTAAAGGCACAGCTACAAAGCAAGACCATGCGGCAGGTGGTTGGGTTCGATTCGCGGTCCGGTCTAGGAGTTTTTCGGGTTGGAAAATTTCTCGACTTCCCTGGGCATAGAAGTGTGATTGGACATGCCACACAATTATACCAATGCAAAAATGGTACATTCATCGAAAGCTCTCAATTAATAATTGTGGAAGTGCATCTAGAACACTAAGTTGAGAGCACGCAATAAGCTAATATGCGATGTGCAATAAGCTTGAAATGCGAAGAAGAAGAAGAAGTAGGGTACTTTCCACGAGCAATCCAACGATAGTGAACTCTTTTGCTGGAGGTTTGGCTACAAGTGTTGCTTCCCCGGTCTTCAGAATTGTCATTTTGAAGAAGTCACACATGTCGTATATCAATGTTGAGCGGTTGTCGCCGTACAGTTCCCCCCAGCCTGAACCGTGAGTGTTAAAATCTCCCAAGATCAACCGTGGCTCCGGCATAGCTGTGCAGATATCCGAGAAACTTTGACGAGAAATCGTAGTACTGAGGCAATACTGAGACATTTTACCTCGAATACTAACCTGACATGCAACAACTTCAATGCCTGTCACCGAAGGCAGATCGATTCTGTAAAAGGAATGGAGCTTGTTGATCCCGAGAAGAACCCGTCCACACGAATCTGCGCGGTCTAACGATTTACATAGTTGAAGATGCTAATTTCAAATAACAGATTAGAGTGGTAATTTTGATACGATAGATGAGAAGATGAAGTATAGAATTGACATTGTGAAATTGTATATATAGAGAGTAGATCCTACCCGTGTCCTCTCGAGATCGTCAAGTCGACGATGACAGGAGCACATACCGTGGTAGAGGTAACAATAGCTGCAATTTCCAAACCTACGACTGGATGTCTTCCTTCAGACAACAACTTCAGTGCGGTAAAAATCGATAGAACTGTTTCAAACACATCATCGGTACATGAGAGTGTCGGTGATCGTCTCTTTTTGCCAGTGGTGGCGGGGGGAGTTTGGTAAAGAGAGATGATAAAACCGATTTGTATCTTCATTCATAAAAGTTGTCCTAGCTCGCTTTCTACTCTTTATATACACAATTTCACACTGCCGTACTCTAACGGAACTATCAATTCTATACTTCATTTCCTCATCTATCGTATAAAAATTACCACTCTGAAATTAGCATCTTCAACTATGATTTAAGTGGTTGTGCCTTAAAGCCAGCTAGCTTAAAACCAAATGAAATGAGATGTGAATGTTAAAAGTAGGTTGGCATTTGTGGAAGTTATGATCAATTTAGTGAAGATGCGAAATTCTAGTTGAGATTTTGTTTTTTTTTTATTGAAAGTATATCTTATGTTTTAAATCCCACTGTTTTTTTTTCTGACTACAATTTTGGCATGGGAAATGACCATCAGCGTACAAAGTTCAAATAAACACACCAAATTTAAATCGTTGAAAATCAGCAAAATTTTGCTGATTTTAGACTTGATGAATATCAGCAAACTTTCCAGCAAAATAATGCTGATGACAATTACAGCAATTTTAACTTCTATCAAAATTGCAACACTTAACTGAATATTCAGTGAATTTGTATTTTGTTTGCTTAAGTTGCAGCATAAGAATAAAATGACAGCTTTTAACTAATTTTCCAGTAATTTTCAGCAAAATATAACTGAATGAACTGTAAAATTTATTCATTTTTGTTGTTACTGAAACTTTAGCAAGCTTCAGTTTTATATTGCTGTACCAACAGGATTTTAGTTGTCCATTTTATCACAAGATTAAAATACGGTTCATAGTATCACAGAGCATATACATATTTTATTGGTTTATTGGTTTTAAAACAGAACTGGAGGAGCATTTTTGTTTTGCCGTCGACGTTCTGCAACCGAAACCTGCAAAACCATAAGGTTTTTTGACGTAGGACTACGTCTTTAATTTATATACATTACATGGGGGTTACATTAAAAAAAAATCAATTCAGACATGTAACGAAAAATCCCAAACACGGACGTAACGATAGAGTGCAAATCGAACAAACGAAACGTTGGGTATGGTCACATGAGCGATCTCAATGCTCGGTTGATCGCTCACCATTTCACCAATAAAAGGAAGGGAGGAGAAAAGCAGCGATAATAAAAACGCTTGCCAAATCGTTTTCTTCGGCATTTGCTTTCAAGCATCGAAAGGATAAGTGTCGTACACGACGTATGAGTGGAACAGCATGCATCGCACCAATACGAAGACGACGCAGTGGTGCCACATTATTTCCATTTTCAAACGGTATTTTCACCGTAAAAAATCTTTTTATTCTGTTTCTGGCTGACAAAAATCTGTATAAATTCTAAAGTATGATCTTATTGCGGATCGTCGTAAATATACTTTGAGTTCATGTGAAGTTCATAAATAGTTTGTTCATAGTTAAGAATCTTGATGAAAGACTTAGGTTTGCTTTCTAAAGATTAATCTATTTTAAAGACCTCGAAATCCTGAATCTTGATTTTTTTTTTAGTGATTTGTTTCTTTTCCAAATGCCTAAAAACACAAAAAATCAAGTCCCAGTAATGAGAAACAAACCTGATAAATTATTGAAGAAACAATCACGTTATCGTAAAATTTGAATTTTGTATGTATGAAAATCATTGTTATGTCATTTGGTTTTTTTTTTCTCAACAGTTTTAGAAAATGAAAAATAAGCATTGTAATTTTATGAAGTATTAATTGTAAAATTTTATGCTCGATGTTTAATTTTCTCAAATTCTTCTAATTAAATCAAATTTCAACTTTATCTAATCATTTGGCAGATTAAAAGGATATTCAATTCGCTATCTGTTGCTCGAACCATGTGATATAGCTAAATAAACTATAAGAATGAAAAACTAACATCCCTTTTAACGAGCAATCAGAAATCAGAACATCTGATCATCAGAAGTCCGTTCAAAATTAACGAAGATAATAAAATAAAAAGTGAAAATTTGGATTTGGTTAGGTGCTCATACCCACTCTAAAGGAAGAAAGGATTATTTATGGATATTAATAAATACAATCCAGAGTAAAATATATATTCTACTTATTTTAAAAATCTGAAATATCTGTTTATTAAAAAACAATCTGTAATCAGTGTCTACAGATATCTGCATAAAAATTTTGAGAAAATTCTGTATGATTACAGATAAATCTGTATATGTGACATCACTGAGACGACAACGAAAGCACCCACATCGACCGGAGGAAAGGCTTCCCTTAATAGGCAGAATGACTAGGCCGCTGTCATCCGGTCGGTATCGATTTGCACTGGTGTGGCCACCATTTGAAAAACAACCGGCCCATTTCAGGGCCATCAATTCAAAAACGGAAAAAGATGAGAACTAAATGATCAACATATTTGCTCCGTCCACTAGCGGTCCTACATCAAGCTGTGTTTGTGCCCCTAGGCACAGACCCTTCTACTTTTTTTTATTAATAAAACAGCTTAACCAAATAATTCTTTGACATACCTGCTATGTACCGTGAATTTATAGACTACAATTAACATTTCCAGTTAACGGCGCCGGTGGTGTAGTGGTAAGCGTGATTACTTCTCACCCCAGCAAGCCTGGGTTCAATCCCAGTTGGCGCTGCCGGGATGTTCTGAGGCATAGCATCTCTGATCACGCCTTTCTTCGGAAGGGAAGTAAAGCCGTTGGTCCCCGGTTCATGAGTTGATGGGTCGATATGTAGGGTCCAGGTGTGGGAGCTGCCTTCCTGGCGTCGGTAGCATTGGTGCTCAGCACGGAAAACAAGATCGACGGAAAACAAATCAAGGAAAAAAAAAACATTTCCAGTTCGATTTTAATACACATAGTGTCTGGAATCGCGGGAATGAAAAAAAAAAACTTCAAAGATAAAGTTTATAGCGTTGACAGGTATTCTGTGATCTGTCATTTAAGTGCTCGGCTTACTGATCATCAGCAAATAATCTGACTTTTGCCTGTTTTACTGGATTTCGGCAATGCTAAAAATAGTAATACTTAATGTCAGCTAAAAATTATTTTACTGAACCCATTTCAGCATTTTTTTTTTTTGCTGAAACTCAAAATCGAAATTTGGTATGTACTATATGCTAGTGTCATTAACGAAAAATAAATTCAATGAAGCGAATCGATCAATGATACCTAGGCCTTAGTGCATTGTTCAGCTTCAAATGCCCTTTTTGGACGTCCATTGAAGATGTTGAATGCAAACACTCAAAAATGCTCCTACAATGTACTCGTTGGGATATTCAAAAATATGATAGATACCGTTACCAGTGTTACGCTTTCCAGTGCAACACCGTTAAACTCCTCCCGACTGTGTATAGCCGTATCCTGCAACATCTTGCAACAGTTCATGCAACATTCTATCCTCCACAGGATTTCAGATATGAAAACCCTCCGAAAGTGGAGGGGATAGCTCGTGCTCGCGAGGGCCCTGCACTTTGCTATAAAATGTTACCCATCGGATATCGTCATCCTCAAAAGAATCCTTGTTCTCTCTCTCCCTCTCGTTCTCTTCAAAATGCCATCCTCTCCGATAAGATTTCAGCGAGAATCTACTCCCTCGGGCAAATCCCTCTCACAGCAGAGCTTGTGGTGGTGGCGTTACATCGAGTTGAATCCGTTCTCGTCGTGTCCTGTTTATCAGCAGCAGAGGCGATGTCCCGTCAAAACATTGCACCGGGAGAACGATGACGACGAGAGCCGGAGAGTCGGAGAGTCCTCGGCCTCGCAAATCGCACCAGGATACGAGAGCAAACCTGGCCTGGCATCCGAAATTCGCTGCCAAAAAACATCTACAACACGGAAGCGAATCCGTGGCCAAACTGGAGCATCCGCACAATCCTGGCTCGGAGAGCGGATTTAGTAGTGCCGTGACTTTCAATCGTTGCACTGAGTGTGAATTCGTACAATAACGGTGCGGTGTGGTTTTACGGCGATTTGGTATAGGTTCGTGTTTTATTTTTCATGAATGGTGGTTATGATTGAAATTGGGTGTGATTCTTAACATTAAATTGTCATGAATTTTCGTGGAAGAAGGGAGCTAGTGCTACGATGAATCAAGTGAGGTGAATTTAAAGCTGACATTTTCAGCCAAGTTGCGTTACTGTGACGGTGGTGGCGATGGTGGGAAGTGATTGATCGTGACTTGGCGTGAGAGGAAAAGAGAGAGCGAGCAGGATAGTGAGTGTATGCGCGCACGAGAGAGAGAGAGAGAGAGAGAATCCGGAAACAAAAGAATCGCCTTCGTGTCCTTCCTGTGAAGAGTGTCGAGCGTATGCGAGCGGGAACCAGCAAAGGGACGATCCGAAGGGAAACACAAAAATCAATAAATTTCATTCAAGGTTATTCACATCGGGGTTCACATCGCTCACAGCTTTAGCCGAGAGTCGAAATATGAATTTCGGCATGCCACAATAACACAATTCGCACAAACGACAAACCACGGTGCAAATCCCTGGACGGGAGGAAAACAAGAGCATCTCCGGAAGAGGCAGCCAGCCGAATGTGAACGGACAGGCATAAATAGATTGGATTTTTTTTGGTGTGTGCTCAAATATCCTGCTGCAGTGGAAGAATATCTTCCGACGAAGATCTCAAAACAGATATCTTTTTGCCACAACAAACACAAAAAACGAGGCAAGAAAACGTGACAACAAATTTTCCCTCTGATTGCGCACCGTCATCGTCCCGTTTCCGTCCTCTCCGAGCTCAAGCGTAAAGTCTGCCAAATGTTAAAGTTGTTTTGCTGAAGCCCTATCTGGTGAGGGGAAATTTCAGTCAGTGAAATTTCAGTCGGAATGAAAAATGTAGATTTAATTTCGAGTTTTGTGTGAAGTTTTTTTTTTACTGGAAAACTCGAAGGGTTCGATTCCCGGTAGGAAAATTGGGTCAAATTCAAATTTCTTGGCGCAGATTTTGTCGGTCTGACTGGTCGCGTGTTGTCCTGAGGCAGTCGTAGCTGAAAATACATAAGAAAGGGGTTTCTGCGGCGAGGAACGAGAAACTGGACCAACCCGAAGGAAGCCGAGCAAGCAATGGCTGGAAGACGTAAGTTGACCTACATTTTTCTCCTGCCACAATCGAATTCATTGGTTTACATTTAGGCTACCCGAATCCAATTGAACAAATGGGCCCCAAGAAAACAAAGACGTCAGTCCGTTAGACAGCTTGACTCGAATTTCTCCGACCAAAAGGTTTCAATTAAACTCCCTCGGTGGAAAAGCTTCAACAGAACGGGTAAATGTCACTTTGTTTTTCTTTTTTCAATTTTCAAAACGTGAAAAACGTGAAAACGCTGATCTGACAAGACTCGAGGCAGGCATATCATTCCGCCGGGCTACGTTTGCCAAACCAATCAACCATTTCGCGCTGAACTCAGAATTGGTTGATTCCACAAACAATAACTCCGATATGATCTCCGAACGAAAACAAAGTGACCGGGAGGTAGGGGGTGCTAGACCAGCTAGCAGCAATAAGCGCTAATAAACTCTGCCATTTCCAGTTTATTCTATCAAAATAAATAGCGAGTTTATTGTTCACGAAAGCGTGTTTCGGAATTTATTTATTTATCAATTCGAGCCATGACACTAGGCCGCTTGGGCAAACACACGGCGCTCAACTGTCGACCGTTTGGTCGTCCGTCGGTAGACAGGTTGGGAAACTATAAACAGAATATAAAAATGGGCCCGGGAAAAGGCTGAGGGGTGGGAGGTTGAAACCAGCGACCGATGGGAATCGATTCGATGTGGTTTTGCTGAAATAGGCGTTAGTGTAGACGAGTAGGAACTGGGGTCGGGTGTCATGACCTAGGGCAGTTTTTTTTTTCGGTGCCTCATGGTTGCGGATCCTGAACGTGTTCGCCACTGACCATGGATTGGTGGCTGTGGTAAGGTAGCAGTAATTGGTGGACTAAATGGTACATTCTAGGCGATGGGTTGTCCATATACCACACACTACGAAAAAGTCATGTAAATTTCCGTGCCCTGAGACCGACACATGCAAGCGGCCCAAATGACACAAGAATCAGTTGAAAGAAACGAGAAGATCAATTCAATCAAGCGTACTCGACGATAATTGTGTATGCTTCGGTTTAGGAACACTTAATTTTGCATGAAATGTTTGTTTACGTGCCATAATTTACGTCAAAGATGGATTACGTCTCGTGTAAAAATAGTTCGTTTTCTAAGTACGCATGTATATAGAACCTCTGTACAAAAACTGTCCACGTTGGATGTGGACTGCTTCTGATGTGTTCGGATGATGTTAGGCAATTATTGAAAATAATTAAACTTTTATCTGACTACAAATACCATTGAGCAAACTACACATTGATATTCCCCCACCCTTCTTAGCGGCACCGGTGGTGTAGTGGTAAGCGTGATTACCTCTCAGCAGCCCTGGGTTCAATCTCAGTCGGCGCTTCCGGGATATTCTGAGGCATAACATCGCTGATCACGCCTTCCTTCGGATGGGAAGTAAAGCCGTTGGTCCCCGGTTCATTAGTTGATGGGTTGATAGGTAGGGTCCAGGTATGGGAGCTGCCTTCCTGGCATGTCGGTAGCATTGGTTCTCAGCACGGAAAACAAGATCGACGGAAAACAAATCAAGGAAAAAAGTCATTGGAACAACCTCAAGAGATTCTTCAGAATCATTACCCATATTCCTCAAAATTAGTTCAGACTTGCCCTAGAATAGTTCTGGGATTATCGTATTTGTCAATTATTGATTCTCCCTCTTAATCAGAGATCGCCTAGAAGCACACCAAAATAGGTTCACGGGGAAAAACCCGGTCCAAAATTCGTCAACCACAAGTCACGCATTTCGGAATCAACCGATTTTTGCTTTACAAATGTATACCGTCAGTGTACTGTCGACAGAAGCAGACCACTCTCAATGTGTGTCACGCGATCGTCTGTTGACTCAGCAGCAACCATTGCACTATCAGATATCAGGCGGTCAAAAATCAAAAAATCGACTTTCACTAATCCTTATTTCGTTATTTTTGGTCGATAGTAAACATTTCGACTAAGAGAATCTGAAAGTTTCAAGCTTCTAGCAGTTTTAGTTTCTGAGATATCGGATGTCGAAGTTAAAAAAGAGTAAGAAAAGTACAAATGTTGCAGCAAAAATACACTACCACTCAAATAAAATTTCATCCACTATTTATCATATAACTACCACATAATTATACATCGTTGGAAAGGTAATTTAATAAGCTTTCCGAAAATAAAATCTTTTTGGAAATTTGATGGAGACAAAAAAAATTAAAAATAAAAGTAGAAAAAAAATAATTGAAAATTAATGAAAATTTAACTTTATTCATCACCAACTTTCGAGTCTCGCACATTCCCAGGCTAATTCTCAGCTCTGGATGAAGTTTTGAGTGTACTCTAACAATTACTGAAGAGTTTGCCTGCCCCAACTTGCCCCATTGGAAATATAAGCGATTTGAAAATTTTCGGTTATTATGGGAGATTTCAAATTGTACAAGAGCCGGCTTGGAAACAAACTTTTTCAACAATTATTTTGCAACTTTTGGAGTTATATCCGGTTGGTATAGTCGAAATATATTGTTAAAGAACATTTTCTAATATTTCATGACCAACTTTTAAAAAGGGCTTAAGCTTTTGTACAAAAAGAAGTCATCATTATCATAAAGTTCACTGTTGGATGAACGTAAAACTACATTCGTTTATGCTTTTTTCTAAAGTAGGTACCTGAGTTATGACGATTATAGAAGCATATGCATAAGTATGTACCTACGCATATGCGCGGATGAGTTTAATTTATACCTAAGTCTGTACTTAACCTACTGTAGTGTCAATTTGAAGCCATAGTGTATTTTGTGTAGCTTTTATTTAAACTACTACAGTGTAATTCAAATTTACGGTTGAGACCAAGTGTGAGCATGGATAATAGAACCATTATTAATCTATTAGACGCAAAATTAAGCCATAGTGACAATGTTCACAGAGCCATTGAATTCATTTGTGAAAATTATAACATCTCGGTGGAAAAACGTAAACGTCTCGATGAAAAGATCCATAAAATCGTTACTAAATACATCAACAAATGGCATGAAGCTAATCGCACGAAAGAGCGATTTGAGTCGTATTTTCGGAATTGGCTTGATGGAGAATTTGGCATCGAGGAATTCATCGAACAGAAGCAATGTGTTGCCTCAACCTCGGCCTCGGGAACAAAACGTGGACGACCTTCAAAACCTTTCTTGGATTTGAGTGAAAGAGGAAAACGTCGCGTCATCGATTAAGAAGCAGTTGATCCAAAATTCGATACCATCGAGAAAGCTTTGTTATTTGCAAGACGGACCGCTTATAATTGAAAGGATTTTAATTTAGTTAAAGTTATAGGGCATATTTAAAAAAAAAAAAAACAAAAAAGCTCTAAAACCATGCTGGCTCAACTAACTGATCAACGAGGAATGATGTCACCAGAAGAGGCTTTTAGTGTACTTATCGAGGCTGGATTGAGTAGATTTTAATACGAAGTAATACATAGTGAATCACCTTCAAGATTTCCACCTTACTATGCGATCGGAGCAGTGAAAAAAATATGCGCCCCTCCTAGTAAATTCATCGAAGAAAGTGCATTGAAAATAAGAGTGAAACTCCTGGCGCTGATGGAAAATACAGTGAAACGAATCGTCCAAATAATTGATGCAGAGCTCAACGAGTATATGGATAGCAACGATCTAGTTTCTACGGAACTGGTTCTTCTATGTAGCTCGGGTATGGACGGATCAACTGGATATTCGCAATATCATCAAGTGCTACCAGAAGGATGTCAGGACGATTCAGATGTATTTTCGTCCATTTTAACACCAATTCAGTTGTTCATGTACAATGATCGAAAGGAAATTATGTGGTTTAATCCCATGCCTCAAAGTATTCAATTTTGTAGGCAATTCATCCTTGAATTCATTACAGAGAGTAAAGAAGTTATTCTGGCTAAAAAACAGGATGTAGAAAAAGAAATGAGTGAACTAACGCCAGTGAAAATTGAACTCTCAAACGACAAGTTTATACTTGTTGATTTTGATTTTGTCCTCAGTATGATAGACGGAAAAGTCTTAACTTATATCACTGGAAATTTGTCGATGCAGAATTGTCCAATATGTGGGACAACACCAAATGTAATGAATGATGCAGAGAAATTCGAGGAAGGATTTATATCAAACGAAGAAGCCTTGCATTACGGCATATCTCCACTTCATGCTTGGATAAGATTTTTCGAATGCCTTTTGCATATTGCATACAGAATGGATATCAAAAAATGGAAGGTAACGAAACCGTTCAAAGAACTATATGAACAAAGAAAAAAACATGTGACGACACAGCTTTACGAAAAATTTGGAGTAAGAGTAGATCAACCACGATCGGGTGGAGCAGGTACCCGTACTACAGGAAACGTTTGTCGAAGAGCATTTGGAAATCCCAAGCTTTTAAGCTCCGTGCTGAACATTGATGAAGAGTTAATTTTCAGATTCCGGAATATATTAATTGCTATTAACTGCCAAGAGCCAATAAACCCGGAAAAATTTGATGCATATTGCAAGGAAACATATAGGCTCTATCTTAAATTGTATGATTGGTACAAAATTCCTGCAACCATGCATAAAGTTCTCGCTCATGCCGGAGAAATAATCATACATTCACCAGCACCACTTGGTTCATTAGCGGAAGAGGCAGCAGGAAGTCAACATAAACAATTGAAAAAATATCGAACCCATCATGCAAGAAAACGATCAAGAGTAGAAAATTTACATGATGTCTTTATTCGTGCCATTAATGAATCGGACCCACTGATCAGTTCCATTTGGATGGCAAAAAGACGACAGAAAAAAGTATCCCTGGATTATCCCGACATCGTGAAAAGTTTCATGATATTTGAAAATTCTGTAAGTGATTCAGTAGTCGATACTAATAACTTCAATGCCTTGGAGGAACGTATGAAAGCAGTCGATGAAATTGAAGAAGAATGTGTTCATGATGATATTGTAACAGAGGAATAAAAAGAAATTCGTTGAA